TTTTTTTTTTTTTGTGTTTTTCACATTTTGCGCATTCCATTCATTTAATAAAACGTTTTTTTTTTCGTTTTCTTGCAAATGTCAGCTTTGCCATAAATTTTACAGTTAATGAGCAGAGTTCCCTGGATCTGGTTAATGATTAGAATTTCCTGGAGTAATTTTTCCTCGATTATTAGTTTTGCTCGGAATCTGGAAAATTAGAGTACCGTCGAGGGATTTTCCTCATTTTTCACTCAGAATCAAAAAACTAGGACATTGCCTCATCTCTCTCACATATAAGATTAGTGCCTTAAGATTGAGGAGGCTTCATCTTGAAGGCCAGTGTTCCAAAAAAGTCATTTCTCTACCACAGGATTGCTTCCACTGAAGGATAACGTTCTTGATGGGTGAACTAGTCTAGGGGAGAGTGCAGGGGGAGGGGGTTTCAAGACAAACTCCAGAAGATCGGTCTGCGGTACTAAGCCTATTTTTCTCCTAATGCTACTGGAAAATGAGGTATACACTGTCAGAAATGAGATATTGTGGTGCATGTGAGTAAAAATACAGATATTTTCGAGAAAAAAAGGCAATTTTGGCCGAAGGAGTAATTCCGGAAGCAAAAATGTCGCTCAGTGTTGTTTGCCACAAACCAATTTAACGCTTTCGCAAACGTCAACAGATCTGTGTTTGTTCGCCGGACTGACACCACCGGAAGTTCATTATAAGCGCTCGGCCAGCCAAATTGCTCCCTTGCAACCGCTCTGGATTAGCCATTTTAGCGTGTCGTATTTCGGGGCCTAAAATTTATCAAAAACTCTCGCGAATGCAAATGAAGCATAGAATTACATCACTTTTTGCAATGGGATTTTTTTGCAGCCTCAATGAAATGAATTTTTTGTTTGAAATTTTTTTTTGCAATTTAAATGCCAGAAATTCTGGACATTTAAATGATTCTATTTTATCCAAAAGCCAGGAAGACGAGGTTTTGCTCGAAATTTCCCCTCATATGTTAGTCGAAATTGAAAAACTGAGGCAACATCCGACGTTTGCTTGAAATGAACAAGAACTGAATACCAAAAACGATACGTTGCGAATAGAAATTAGTTTTTTTTTTTTTAAAAAAAGTCTAGTGATGAATTTAAATTTAGCGAGATAATGAATCCCTTACTTTTAATCCGTCATTTTCAACTCCAACATCATAGTGGTGCATTTCATCATCACGTAGCTTCGTTAGCGTCTGTAAAAATTTGCCAATTTTTCTCCAAATTAAAAGGTTAAAAATCCAATATGCATTAAATTAGGCCCTAGGACTTTCACACCTGTCATTTGGGAGCATCACGATCAAGCCAGGAAGATCTTTCCGTAAGCACAGTAATAGAAAATCGAGGAAAATCTGCTCTTCTGGAACTATTCCAAGAAAAATCACTCCTCACGAAACAGGCGCTTAGCCTTTCAAATTTGAATTTATGCAAATATAGTACTTCAAGCAGTTGTGCGTGTGCCTCGGGATCATCTTCAAGCAGCTCCATGATTTGTTGATTGTAATGTTCCGCAATAAGCTCCTCCACAGCTGTTGTACAGGCCATTGCTGTTTCTTTGCCCAGCAAAGCTGTTCCAGCTCCTAGAAATTTGCCTAATTCAGAATTACTAAATACATCCCAGTAACATCACTAACATGGAATACTACTCACATGAATGCCCAGGCGATCATGGTATTAAAATTATGTAAACATACATAATTTTGAATAATTTAGGTTTAGGAGGTTTCCCATTTGCCCCCCCCCCC